AATATGTGTACTCATTGGATCCAATCCCTATATATATATATATATATATATATATAAAGAGAAGAATAAGAAGAAGTAGAAGCACTCAGTTTTTCTGTAAAACTACAAATGTACTCTGACATTTGTTTATGCCTTACCAAAGTGCACCCTCCAGAAAAAGTTTGTGTAAGGTAATTACAAACTTTAAGGTGATATTCCCACCATATGCATGTAAATGTTTTTGCATTCACATTTCAGATGAAACATTTGATTCTGGGAGCCATCATCATGAAATCAGTTGGGAGCCTGTTGTTCATCTTTGGCAATTCTCTTGGAGCTTCACTCCTGGTATTCATATCGGTCCATTGCTTGTATTTTCATCTACTAATGCTCTTGCTAAGCACTGTTGTTCCTAAGAGCCTCTCACGTATCTGCAGATTTTGCATCAAGCAATTTCGGCACCCATCTTGTACGATTTCTACAATTATGATGCTGACAAGAAAGAATTTGGTCATCTATTTGTCAAATTCACACAGGTGCGTATTCTTATAAAAAGAATGTGCGACTCCTAATAAAAATGGGACTAGGATGTTTAATAATAAGTATTTGGTTAGTTGTCTATTATATTTGAGTAGCTAAAACCTACTCATTTTATTTATTTTTTTCTCTGAGTAGAATTTGGCACTGCTTGGGGCATTGCTTTTTTTCATTGGCATGAAGAACTCAATGCCAAGGAGATCATCAAAGAGGAGGACCGCTAAATCAAAAACGAACTAAGATGGTGGGCAATGCTATTGTTTCATTTGGCACACATCAATTTAGCTAGCAATGGCCTGCTTATGATAATAGAATCAGTGATTTTGGTAAGTTTGTGTCGTTAGTAGCCCATGAGATTTTTGTTATGATTTTCTCTTTGAAACTATGTTTCTTGGCTTTGGCGCACCTTATTTTTGAATTAATCATAGATGGAAGGCAGTGATAGTGATGGTGATGTTGATGTTGGGTTTGTCTTTTGAAACAAATTTATGCTTTGCTTCTGAGTGGCCTGGTTGGATTATTTCATTGGTTTGGTTTCCTATAGTACTATATCCTGGTAAGTCAAATTTAACATACCAACTTTAACTCTACACATCTTTTTTTTTTTGTTCTTTTTTCAGTACTGTATAGCGGACTGTGCCGATTATACCTGGCGCATGGCTCATGATTGTATTGATTTTAATGAGCCCATGAATGGTAAGCACGAAATGTCATATGGCAAACTAGTGCCATCTTTCTAAAGATGATTTTTAATGTTTTTTTTTTTTGTTAATATATATATATATATATATATATATATTCAGATTTTTTCTATGGAAGTCGACCTTCCGTGAGGTAGGATTGTATTATTAGATTTTTTTAGGTTTTGACATTGTCATTTTTTAATGTTTCTAATTAATAGTTCTGTTCATATTTTGTTTTGCCAGGATTTCAGTCCTCATTCCTCCCTCATTCCTCCTGCCTGTCTGCCTCATAATGGTGTTTGTTCGTTGTATTGTTCAACACCCATTAGAAAAAATGTTCGTGTTTTTGTGTTGCTCAACTTTTGTTAGAAAATTTTTCTAACAAAAGTTCAGTAACACAAAGACACGAACATTTTTTCTAATGGGTGTTGAACAATACAACGGACAAACACCATCATGAGACATGAGACAGACATGAGACAGGCAGGCAGGAAGAATGAGAACAGAAATCCTGACAAAACAAAATATGAACATAACTATTAAAAACATTAAAAAATGACAATGTCAAAACCTAAAAAAAAAAATCTAATCATACCTTAGGTTTTTTAAGCTCATTTTCAGGTTTTTGAAGTTCATCACGGAGTGTCGCCTTCTCTAGAAAGAAACTCTGAATCTAAATATATATATATATATATACAAAAAAAAAACAACATTAAAAATCAGAAAGATGACACTAGTTTGCCATATGACATTGTGCTTACCATTCATGAGCTCATTAAAATCAATACAGTCACGAGCCATGCGCGGCACAGTCCGTTATACAATACTGAAAAAGAAAAAAAAAAAAGATGTGTAGAGTGAAAGTTGGATTATTTCATAGACTGGGCCTGCCAGCCCAACAACTGGGGTTTGGCTCAAACTAGATCTGCTTGACTTTTGTTTTGGTATGGCTGAGCAGTTATGTGCACAATAATTTATAAGGAAAATTACTCATGGGGGAAGCATTTTATTCTTGGTCCTTTAACTTAGGGTTACCTATGCAAATGTTGCTGTCCAAAATTGTATCAAGTTTAGTCAAAATGGTGATGTCTCTTGATTACACATGATGACATAGCTCTACAACTTGAAGACATGGAGTGGATAACTTTAGATTTTTTATTTAATGTTTATATATTTTGGGAGTTACAAATTCTCGTATGAGACAATCTAATTGTAAAACTGAATCAATCTATTATATAATCTTTTAAATAAAATTGCAAACCTGTTGTATTTTTATTCATATTATTTTTCAAAAGTATGACATTTCAGTCCGAAAATATATGTACATTATTGGAGAAATGTGATTGTTTCATCGTCAGGTTGTTTAACAATAATATTTCTGTATGAAATTTATATATATATAATTACCAATTATTATCGATTAATGTTTTATTATTTTGTATTATATCAATTTGAATTATAATATTTTTATACATAAATTTTAATTGAGCGTCAAATTTGAATTATTTTGTATTAAGATCAATTGAAACTTGTGAGTTTTCTTCCAGGATCTAATGTAAGAACTATTGAAATTGAGCTTCAAACTTTTGTGGCTCAAGATCTGATTCAAGAACTTTCTCAGATTGAATTAAAAAACAGAAGAAAACAAAACATGGCATATTTGTTTATGCATAAATCATAACCATAATATCATTGAAGAGATTCGTTTCCAAACCTTGAACAATAAAAAATTACAAGTCACAATCAACCCTATATGAAAATTGGAAGCATAAATTTTCTAATGTAAGATTTTTGAATAAAAAAAAGGGTGTCACATGTTCCATTAAATGAACCATAACAAGATAGAATGAAAGTCAACACTAATTTCCTTTGATTATGCAAAAAAACTTCAACAACTTCCCTCTACATTTGGCAATTTAAAGAAGATATTCATCAAGTTCCTCACAAACTAATAGTTTGCTCATACTTTCCTCACCGAGAAAAAAAATCATGGAAAAATCGAGCCAAGTCGAAATCGCCCCACTTAAAGAGCCCGGTTTCGACCGAACGAGCGAGCTCAAGGCTTTCGACGAGACAAAAGCCGGCGTGAAAGGCCTCGTAGACGCCGGTATCACTCACGTCCCGAGAATCTTCTTTTCACCTCCCGATACTCACGGCCTAATTAATGATGACATCACAAAGGCCGGGTCAGTCAAAATCCCGGTTATCGACCTCGACGGCGACTTCAAGGGAGATGAGATGGGGAGAAAAAATGTGGTGAGAACCATTAGGGAGGCATGCGGGACGTGGGGCTTTTTCCAGGTCGTGAACCACGGAATCCCGGTTAACGTTTTGGAGGAAATGTTGGAAGGGTCTAGAAGGTTTTACGAGCAAGATGTTGAGGTGAAGAAGGAGTGGTACACGAGGGATAGTGATTCGAAAACGGTAATTCATAATAGTAATTTTGATCTTTACCGAGCGGCCTCGGCTAACTGGAGGGACACGACATACGTGATAATGGCTCCTAAGGCTCCGGAGCCAGATGAGTTGCCGGAGGTCTGCAGGTAAAATTATATAAGAAATTTGTTGGAATATTACTTGTGAGTTGTCCCACGTTGATTCTATATTGGATAAATGAACCTAGTTTATAAGTCTAGTTGACTACCCCTCCCATCACGGATTGATTTTGTGATGGAACATCACTAAAGTGTATTTAGGCTCACCCTCTTATGGTGCATTTCACTTGCATGACTGTATCCTCTTCTCCCGATTCTTACAAAATCTAATTGTTTTTACTTGGCAGAATGTTTGGATTTTTAACATACTTTTAGTCATTTACAGAGATATCTTGATTGAGTACTCCAAGCAAGTGCACAAGCTCGGCATATTCTTGTTCGAGTTACTATCTGAAGCGCTCGGTCTTGACACGAACTATCTCAACAACATGGGATGCTCGGAGGGGCTGGCCACCCTTTACCACTACTACCCGGCGTGTCCTGAGCCAGAGCTTACCTTAGGGGCCACCAAGCACTCGGACTACGATTTTCTAACCGTGCTTTTACAGGACAATATTGGTGGGCTTCAAGTTCTTTATGAGAATATGTGGGTTGATATTCCCCCTGTCCCTGGAGCTCTTGTCGTCAACATTGGAGATCTTTTACAGGTAACATTTTACGACCACACTTTTTTTTGGGAAGGAAAATTACTCTTGATGTTTAGTTTAATTGCAAAACTAGGATTTTTTTTTTTCTTTTATTTGGGGGTTTCATAACCCGACTTTGATAAGATATATGCTAAGTTAGGTAACCAAATAAGCTAACTTATAACTTGTTTGGTTAACTTATAAGATTCTTGTATTCAAATAAACTTCGTTTGTGAGGATGAGTTTTTTTTTTTTAAAATCTCGAACTCATTTTATAAACTTATTGGGTAGCTTTTCAAATAATTTCGTTGAAATTTTTATTTCAGGTAGCTAACTTATCAGTTAATTTTACCAAACACTTTTATCATATAAGTTAGTTTTTCAGCTATAAGTCATAATCTATAAAATATAAGCTCGAAAATCACTCATAAATTATAAGCTAGCTTATCAGCTATCAAGTAGTTTTATTAAACATAGCCATAGTATTTTTAAGAAAACCCACAACGTTTGTTAAGAATGTTGGCGTAGACCATATAGTTCGATTGGAAACTGTAGAAAAAAGAAAACAAATCAATATAAAAGTTTATAGGTTGCAAAAGTTTATTCAGTACTTGTCATGAATTAATCATGTTAGTTTACTCACATTTTTTTCCTTTTTTGGGATGTTTGAATTGTGATCAGTTGATATCGAATGACAAGTTTATAAGCAGCCAACACAGAGTGCTGGCTAACCGCAATGGTCCGAGAGTGTCGGTTGCGTGCTTTTTCTCGACAGGTTTGATGCCGTCTTCAAAGATTTATGGGCCCATAAAGGAGTTATGTTCAGAGGACAATCCTCCAAAGTACAGAGAAACTACAGTCAGAGAATACTCTCTGCACTATAATGCTAAGGGACTTGGTGTTGCTCCAGCTTTGTTGGATTTCAGAATTTAAATGTAAATGGAAAATATATATGTCACGAACAAAATAGCTATATTTGTGGCTTATATATAATTATATGAAATTTGGTGATGCATATTATTTTACTATCTATGGTATCAAATATTTTTGAAGTGTTGTATGAGTGAAAACGATTTGAGAATGTAGTATGTAACAATGTATGTATCCTTAAAAGTACTATTAATTTGAACATAGATATTAAATAATGGAAACAATTGGTTAGCCAATTTATTGGATTAATTGCATTTTTTTTTTCTTCAAAGAACCGTCGGTTCGATTTTGGTTCTATTTTAATAATAGGAACCGTCGGGTTTGGTTCTATTTTTTATTGGAACAATTAGGGTTCGAGAAAATCAAACAAAACGACAATTATGCACCAGAAAATCGAACAGATCGAGAGAATCTGGTAACTGATACCATATTAAAACTAAAAATGAACAAAGATTTTATTGAACATCAAAAAGAAAAATATGTACATGGGGAGCTTGTGTGGCTGAAAAGTTAGGGAGAGAGAGCAAAAGATTACGCACACATCCTACCCGGCTCGATTCCAAATTAGTCGGTTCCCCTGTGGATCCGGAAACCGGAAGGTCCTTGTAAAAAAAAAAAAAAAAAAGGTTACACACACAATGGAGAAACTGAACCATCAAATATTTCCCAATGTGACACAAACAGAGAAAAGAAAGCCTTCGATGATACGAAAGCAGGGGTGAAGGGGGTCATGGAGTCCGGGCTGGAAAAGATTCCGCGTATATTCGTGAACGAGCAATACATGCTCGAGAAGAAAAGCTCGGTTAGTTCTAACAGAACCGGTTTAAGTGTTCCTGTCGTAGACTTAGAATGCTCGAAGAAGGATGAAATCATCGACAAAGTGAAAGAAGCTTGTCATGAATGGGGTTTTTTCCAGCTCGCGAATCACGGAATATCCACGAGCCTCATGAGCAGAGTGTTTGATGGCGTTTGGAGTTTTCACGAGCTGGATGATGAGGCCAAGGGACGTTACTACTCGCGAGATTACACGAAGAAGGTGTTTTATAACAGTAACTTCGATTTGCACCTAGTTTCGAGCGCTAACTGAATGGACACCCTTTATCTCACCTTGGCTCCTGAGTCTCTTCAACCTGAAGAACTGCCTCAAGTTTGCAGGTTAGTGCTGGATAATTATGTAAATCTTTGTCCACGGGTGTGTTAGTATGAAGCACTTGTATCGTTTTCTTGTTTAAGTGAAAACTCGAATCTTGTCATGTAATTGATGTTTAGTTAAAGTGCTTAACCTTAGTATATTACGCTAGTTTGGATTTTACAGTCGAGCAAATAGGCGGTTACGAAAATGGTTTGTTAGTGTGGTGGTTTGCTAGAAAATAAGTTCTTTTTCTTTTTGAATTTATTAGAAACTCTATGATGGAATATGCGGAGGAAGTGAAGAAATTAGGAGTGACTCTTTTGGAATTGCTATCAGAGGCTCTCGGGCTCTACCGAGATCACTTGTAAGAAATGGGTTGTGCAGCAGGACTATATGTCAATGGCCACTATTACCCGGCTTGCCCTGAACTGGATCGAACGTTGGGACTCAACACTCATACAGACAGTGGCTTTTTAACGATACTTCTTCAAGACCACATTGGTGGCTTCAAGTTCTTCACAAAAATCAGTGGGTCGACGTGCCTTCTACTCCCGGAGCATTAGTAGTCAACATTGGAGACCTAATGGAGGCAAGTACGGCACTAAAAAGTTCTGCTTGTGTATTTTTTTTTCACAAATATATATCTTTTTCAGTACAAATTACATATTTTACTCATTGTTATGTCGTTCTTTTTCGTTCGCAGCTCATCACGAATGCTAAGCTAAAAAGTGTGCACCACAGAGTGCACGCAAATAATGTGGGCCCAAGAGTCTCGGTAGCGTTCTTTTTCAGACCCCATGTTGCTAGGCTGTATGGACCAATGAAGGAGTTGCTATCGGAAGAAAATCCTCCGTTTTATAGAGAAGTTACGGCTGAGGAGATGATTCGGATCCGATATTCAAAGGGGCTCGATAAGGTCCCTTTGCTTTCACACTTTAGGATCAACACAGACCGAGTCCCACGAAGTGAATGTATTTATTACTATATGGTATTTGTTTCTATGCTGGAGTGTGAACCATTAAAACCTATGTTTTCGATTCATTTTTTAGCTCAACTTCACGATTCTACAATCCTATTTCTTCATTTGACATCTATGAATGGAGAAAAAACTAAAAGCTTTTCAACCATCTTGAAAAACAAAACCACGATTCAACGTATTATTTCCAATTTAAATGCCGACCTTCAAACAGCAGAAATCGATATCGAAAATTCAAATACAAATGTACTCTTGGACTCCATATACATGATACAGGAACCCAAGCCGACTTTACACATCACACAGAGCTTACTTACAGTAAGCATACATCGGCCGACTCAAATTATACACAAATCATGTCTTCACCATTATCAAACAACACAGAACAGAAACATAGGTACAAAAGGCTATATATATAGGTGGTTCCAACTAAATACATCGACCCCTTGGCTTGAAAGTAGTCAGTATACTCTTTGATGGTGGTTCCTCTTTACTTTGCAGGGTTTTCTTCAGAAAAAATATATGATGTATTAAACTATTAATCACAAATGTACGTACATGTATATAAAGACAAAATATGGGTCTCACTTATGTTGAACCTTAATTTAATCTAACCCTATAATACATAATATAACTACTATATAACTAATATGATTATATATTTTTCTTTTTTATCATTCTTATTATTATTAGTTGCATATTTTAGTTTGTTAGGTGAGAATTAATTTATTTTGCCTCCTCTTTTCTTGGTAGTGAAGTTACTTGGTGAGATTGTAGAAATTGACTTCTTCATCATTATTGGAAATTGGTCAAGTTTATGAATTAAAAATATTGTCTTGAGATTTTATCTCTTGTTTTTCATTTCGTACGCCTTCGCTACTCCAGTTGGTATCTAGAGCTTAGAACGATTCACGATGCCACCGAAGAGGAAGAGGAACAATATTGAAAACGACAGGCGCGATGCATCCATCAAAGCGCTGGGGCGAGTTGTATATCTGACCGCGGGCGTCGGTCGCTAAATTGCAGATCTAACCGCGGGGCTCAAGGACATGCGGCTAGCCTTCAATATAACAGTCCACGACAACAAGACGAACCGCGCCCACGGTGGGGGGCCGCAGAGGGACGCGCGGGGGTCGCATCTGGGGTGCACGGGGGGCTCCCCGTTCCCGGTCGCCTCTTTCATGGGACGATGATGGTGACTATGACGACATTCTCTTCGAGATCAACCCTTTCAGTCATTAGACTGGGGATAACGATTATCGAGCCGGCGATAGCCGGTAGGAGTCGTCTTTTTGCATCGACATTCTGGAGTTCATCGGCGGCTTGGACCCGTCGGAATTCTTGGATTGGATGGCTACAGTCGAGAGCGTCATCGACTACAATGACGTGTCGGACGACCGACACATTGCCTTGGTGACGACGCGATTGCGCGGCACGGGCAGGCCTCTTCGTGGTGGAAGTAGCTCCGGGCTCCGCAACGTCGGCAGGGGAAGGCGAAGATCACGGCATGGGCAAAATTCAAGAAGCACATCGAGCGTGAGTTTTCACCTTTCAATTATGTGCACATTGAGATCGAAGTCACCCCATGGACTTCCCCATTTGAACTTTGATTTACCAATTTTAGTCAATTCCCAAATTCGTATTATAATCATTTAGGTGCAAATTTCTCAATCATTTATACCTCCTATTACAAGGAAGGTGAATGGAGCAGGACGGGTGAGTATATATACGAAAACATATTTAAGTTTAAATGGAGGTGAACTTAATAATTTGGTAGGTGTAAATAATTGTGAAATTTGACAAACACAAGGGATGACACCATCGCATTTCACATAACATCAAAACTTTGAGGTAGCATAAAATAGTTAAAAAAAAAAAAAAATGACAGAATCAAAAGAATTAGATACGGGATATTAAAATTTCCAACTTATTCTAACAATAAACTAATGCAATATTCCAAACCAGCATATAAAAACAAACGAAAAAAAGTACCTAAACCAAGATAGTATCATTGGTGATTAACCATATCTACCAGCAAGTGCACTTTGAAAAAAAATTGCATCCATTGCATGTAAAGTTATGAAAAGGCTGACCAATTCACATATCAAGCAGCGGGTGGCCTGAGGTGATGATCTTGGGATGTATCACGAGCGGACGGGGGTAAATACTGCCATATGGGGACATAACTGTAACCAGGGAACATGGGCATCTTGTTGGGCCCGGCCATATGAGAATATATGGGTGGTGGATGAGCTGGCAAGAACCCACTCGGAGGTAGGGCTTGCGTTTTCAGTTGTTGTTCTATCCTTTCTTTATCTGCCTTGAGCACGAGCTTCTCTTCACGAAGTTCATTCTTCTCAGCCTGTTGTGGAAATGAAATGAAAAAGATTTGAGAATTCAAACAGAAATTAGTCACAATTGCTACATCATATGAAAAGCAAAAGGTATCTACAATTCATCACAACACATCATGCAAAAAAATGTAGTCATTAGATATTTCTTCATAATGAAGAAAACTTTCCAAATGAAAGTCTTTATTAATTTCAATGAAAAGTGAATGAAAATATTATAAAAAAAAAAAAATCAGAAATTAGAACACTCACTTAAACCTTTTGTTCTCCCAAATCATTCACTTCAACTCATTCTTCTTGTTCTTTTTTTTTTTTTTTTGTCAAAATATATCATGGCCAAATTAGTAAACATTTTTCACAGCTTTTACTATAAATTGACTTTTTCTTGTTCAGTCTCAAAATCCATCAATTCTTCTTTCAACTTTTATTCACCACTACTCTCAAACCAAAACGAGAAAATTCAAGAAAAAGAAACAATATGGTGCACATTCATGTTGTGTAACCTTCAAAGTTTTGATCTCTTCCAAAAGCTTCTCATTTGTCTCTCTGTACTCCTGGGATTCAGCTTTCAATTGGTTTAGAACTCTGATGGCATCACCAAGTAAGGCTGATTTGTCGGTTTTCATTGGTCTTCCAGGTTCCAAAACAGCAGACAATTCTGAGAACCTTCCCAATGACAGATAATATTTCAATGTTCTAACGCCAATTACAATAATTCATTTTAAATAAGATAAAGAAAATCTTTCAAGTGTCTAATGCAACATCGAACTTCAATTTCATCTAATAGACTGTACCTTTTTTTTTATATATAAAATTCAATGACTTCGGCCCCACAGAAAATGTTAAGAAGAAGACTGGAAATTAATTCAGGAACATACTTGAATAAAATATGTACCTCTCGTTTAATTTTTCTCTTCTCATTCTCTCACGACAGGCTTTAGTTCCTCCTCCACCACATTGATCGCTACGGCCCCTGTAGAGATCCAAGTAATATCAATAAAATTCCCATTTGTTCTTTTAAATAACTAGGATAAAGTAAGAGTTAAAATTGATTTTGATTCACAATAAATTATTAAGAAATTCGTAGACGATATTCATTTACATACACAACATGTATAAAACCTAAAAACTAAAATCAATCCAGAGGTCGCTGTTCCCGTTCACCTAAGTATACAAATTGGTTACTTAAAACCTTTTCCACTCCTTTTAGTTGAAATCATAAAATCAACATTATGTAATAAACATGTTTAATTGTGCATATAATTATAATATTTTGAGAGCCGAAGAAGACTAAGCATAAATCCAAAATGTAGATACATAATTAATAAGTAATAACATAGATATATCTATTTGTAGGATAACATTATCCAACCAAAACACAACTGCTTTCCTCAAACTGGATAAAATTATGGAAAATAACCTCTTTTTTCGGCATTCTTGTTCTTCTGCACACTCATTGACTAGAGATGCAGCTCTACTAAGTGGGGCATCCATTGTCAAAACAGCACTGCACCAGAAGGAGAGAAAGAAAAAAATAAAGAAGGAGAAATAGTTAATCTTGAAAACATAAAGCATTACTGACAATTTCCAGTAACACACAAAGTTCCCGATACATTAAAAAACTTAGTAGTAAATACATTCTACAATGTTGAACAAGGGGCAGCAAGTAAGTTGAACTCTCTGAATCCCAAAATTGTCACAAACACATTTGACAGCTCTTCGAAAATTAAAATAAGAGCCTATTTTAATTTCAAGGACAATACTCGTACCATTGATCATGTTTTTTTATGTAATTACTGTAATAAACCGATTAAATTATATTACGGCAACTAGAATGTTTATCAAATAGAGTCAGATAAAATTCTCATCATAATAAAAAATTATTCTCATTCTCAATAAGACTGAGAAAGGCACAACTATTGTAAGTTATATAACTACATATAATCTAAATATGTAACATATAGAAAGAAAAGTGTATAAGATGGAAGCAACGAGCTCACAAGGATATCTCAAAATTTCATTCCACGACCTTCGTTTACAGAACTTCCCATCTAACAAGCAACATTGGCTCAAACAAACTGATTTATTCCCCCACCAAAACATCAGTAATTGAATGCAAAAAAACCCAGATTGAGAATCCCCTGAATATTGGGTAGCTGTTGCTAAACTGAGACGAATACTATAGCAGCATCCAAAATGCCTCTTCGAACTCAATTTGTTATTTCGAGATGAAGAATGTGTGTATCTAGGGAATAGCCTAGAAAGAATAAAAAAAAAATTGTAACACAAAAGGAAAGGAATTTCCCCAATTCAAGTTCATCAATCCATAGCCAGGCGATCAAATCCCCAAATTTCGGGAAAAAAAAACTAAATTCATAAAGAAACAAACGTCATACAGAAATTAAGTTTATGGAGATGAACAATAGAGACAAAAAGCTTTCAATATGGAGATGAACAATAGAGACAAAAAGCTTTCAATTGGGACAAAAACACCAGCACCTAAAAAAGTAATAATGTAAACCCTAAATAAAACAACATATAAATAAAAATGCTATAAATGGCCTGAGCAATTACAGAAACACATTTCAAACGGAAACTCACTCTTGAGTGGACGGCTGAGGGTCCCAATAGATATCGGCCGGCGGGACGGCGCCGTCGAGGAGACCGCCGCAATCGATAAATAGCTCAGACCAGCAATCGTCGTCGAATGAACCCAGGCGCAGGCCATCATCGTTCATCTTTCACGATCAAGGGTAGAAATTAGGGCAAAAGGGTGTTGTAGAAATTCAGTGAATTGAAAGATGAAAAGAAAAGGGTTAATTGCACCAAACCCATGTGTTTAACGAAATGTGCGTGTTTCCCCATTGTATTTTAAAAACTGCATCAAACCCCCTTGTGTTTAAGTGACCGATGCGTGTTTTTCCATTGTATTTCAGACCCCCTTGTGTTTAAGTGACCGATGCAAATGCTCACTTTTTTCAATTTCTTGTTAACGGTGTTAATTTTTATACAAAAACCCCGTTATACACTTCCAATATTATATATATATTTATGATAAATTGAATTTCTCACGATATATTGGATATATCGCGAGAAATTGAATTTAAAAAAAAGAGGTTGTCCACAGGTTCGAACCTATGACCTCACATGAGCATGCAAAGCAAGCTACCACTACACCACTCAAGCTTGAGTGCTAAATGTGGTACAGTTAAATATACATAGGCATTACATATGGATAAATGAAATTTAATTTAAAAGTAATATAAATCATATTAAATTAAATTATTAAAATATAAATATATTATAAATTAAAATATAATGAACCAAGTTATATAAAATTAACCAAACGAAAATATAAAAATAACTTATTATATTAAACAAAAACAAAATAATAAAAATAAATTATATTTAAATTTAAAAATCAAAGTTAAAATAATAATATTTTTTAAATTATATTCAGATTATTTTTATATTTTATTATTTGTTGTAATTTATATTATTTTATTGCGTTGTTCATTTTATATTATCTTAGTTAACAAACTTTATTTATTTTGTTTATCTTAAGATAATGTAATCAAATTATGTTAAATTTTAATAATAAAATTAGAAATTAAATTATTTTTTAAAAAATTAATCATTTACTAAAAAAATTATAATTTATTTCAATTTTTTTAGTGATATTGTATGTTAGAGTAAATTATATTAACGTATTTGATAAATTGTGTTTTCTTTATTATATTATAATAATTTATGATTTTTATTTACTTTAATCTATTAATAACTTATTTGATTTATTATATTATTTTACTTTACAATTATTATAATTTATTATCTTATAATATTTTTATTTTATTTTTATTTAGGGGTGGCTCGTCCACGTCGTGTGATGTCTTAGTGCTCGCTTAGGCTTCGGCCTCTTATATTGTACCAAAAAAAAAATAAACTTATAAATTTATTTAATTTTAATTAATGTTACTATATTAAATTTATCTTACTTTATTTTAATTTAATTGTTACATTATTTTCATGTTAATTTAATTTATTTCAAGTTATTATTATTATTATTATTATTATTATTATTATTATTATTATTATTATTATTATTATTATTATTATTATTTATTATTATTTTTATTATTATTATTAATTATTTAATTGATATTTAGTTACCTTTTAGATTTTTATTTATTTTATTTACTTTAATTTATTATAACATAATAACTTATCTGATTAATTATATTATTTTACTTTACAATTTTTATACTTTATTATCTTATAAAATTTTTAGTTTAATTGTGTTTATTTTATATTTAATTTTATTATCATTTTTTTTAATTTAAAAATTTAATAATTAAAGTATTTTAGTAATTAAATATTAAAAATTTATTTATCTTTAATTCGTGCTACTATATATTAAATTTAATCTTACTTTATTTTAATTTAATTGTTTCATTATTTTTATGTTAATTTATTTTATTTTAAGTTATTATTATTAATAGTTATTTAATTTATATTAATTTCCGTATCATATTTTTATTTATTTTATTTCCTTTATTTTTATTTTATTTAATCATTTCCGTATTGTATTATAAATATATTTATGTTCAATAAATATCACAACAGTCATGTAGCCTAGTGGCTTTGTTGGCATGCTCTCTCTTGGGCATCCTGGGTTCGAGTCCCACTGCCTACGCTATAAATTTTTGGCTTTTTCAATAAGATTCAGGAGGGTAAAATGGTAAATTAATTATTCTGAAAATAAAAAAATTGAATAAATCTCGCAGTTAGAGAAGGTGTCACACACGCGCGGTTAACTTGGACGGAATGGGGGAACCGTGCAACAATTACATAAACACAAGGGGGTCTGGTGCAGTTTTTAAAACACAGTGGGGAAACACGCACATTTCGTTAAACACAGGGGGGTTTGATGCAATTTACCCTGAAAGAAAATGATCGGAGGTGGTTTGCGTTATGGAGGTGATTTTTCGGGAATAGGACCTAAGCCAATCAGGATTCAGGAGACGAAACGTTGCGCTACCGTCAAATTCAATTATTGGAAATTGAGAAAATTGCAAATTTAGTCCCGTTAGATTTAAGTTATCGCAATTTTAGTCCCATCAGGCGCATATTTGGTCCTTACCTTATTTTTGTTGCGCAATTGGTCCCAAATCTAACTGACCGTTAAGTCACCGTTTGTCATTAGTTTGAAAAGGGAGAAAAATTGCAAATATAATCCCATAAGATTGGTTTTGTTGCAAATTTAGTCCCAAATAGTGAAAAAATAGTTTTATTACTAATTTTTATTGCAATTTTTACTTCGTGAGTATCTAACAATATTTGATAGTAAAACTTTAGTTTTGAGACAAAAAAATACTATACAATGTATTCTATATTTAAAATTAATTTTTATTAGATAATAAATATATTTAAAAAATAATAATTATTTAATTATTTTAGAATATAGAATTATAGAGATTAATAAAATTTATAAATGAAAATAAAAATAAAAGTAATACCAACTACTATTGGTTTGAAAGTTCGGCCAAACTTGTTGAATCGAGAATCGGTCAACTAAACGGTTTGATTCCCTTAAACGGATTGGTTTCCAATGGACTGGTCAATAATATATATATTTCTTAAATAAGTTAATAAATATTTAAATTTCTTAATATAACAAAAATATAAGTTTAAATATATTTGATATATATAAATTCAAATATGTTAGAATTTATATTATTATGTTTTCTGTATTGAAAATATTTTTAATGAAATAATAAATATGTTTAAAAAATAATTATTTAATATTATTATAATTATATTGGTTGATAAAAAATAAAAATATAATTTTAGAGTTTCATAAAAATTTAAAACATAAAATAAAAATAAAAATAAAATCAACTACTATTATTTTTAAAATAATATTAACTACTATTATTTTTAAAATAATATTAACTATTATTATTTTTAATTTTTAGAATCCGCCAAATGGTTGGATTCCTTTGAACGAACTGGTTTCCGATGAACCAGTCAGCATTAGTTGATCGGACTAGTCAATTGTATGTATATTATATATATATA